TTTGATATTTAAAATATTCTTTACAAATTTCAGCTCTGTTTAATTTTAAATTGGTTTCCATAGGAGTTTTTTTATAATTTTTTTTGTTCTGGATTATATTTTTTAGCCACTGATTAAATATATTTCTATTGACCTAATTTTATACTGTTTTTTCGTTATTGTTTTCCACATCAATGCACAGTAATTTTTTATTTGCCGAAATCTTTCAATACAAATTGCTTCATGAATTTTGCGTCAACTTCGTTTATTTATTTATTTTTTTTACTTTTGCTGCACATTACTATGTTATCTACGAAAATCAAGACGCATACATAGTTTTTACTTTAATTACTTATTACCAAGCTCTTGGGCTTTTTTACAGATCATATAACGCCTTTCGTGATCTATATACTTTGTTTTCCCCAGTTTCATAACCTTACACCTCAGAAATGTAAAAACCATATTTTACTTTATTATTGAATTATGTTAACTCAACATCCATTTGTTTGGTGCATGAATTATTTTTGCAGCAGTAATTTAATAAGATTTTGAATGTCTGCATTTTACTAACTTGTAAATAAACATTTTCCGAACACTTTTCTTATTAAAATTCTCGTACAATTTATCTAGCTTCATAAAAATTATTCATCATTTTTTTTAAATTCATTTTACATCAATCATTTTCCTATTTATTGGCTTATCAACAACTATTAAAGTTTCATTTTCCTTTAAACATTCTATTTCTCTACCCATAGCCTTTTGCCATTTTTTCGATCCATAATACTTTCATGCTTTCTTATATGTACTTAATACATTTGCTTTTACATAGCTAACGTTAATGATATAAGTTATAGGATCACCGTATCTATTTAGAAAGCTTTTCCTTCTTTTGGATCAAATTTGTTTTCATATAAATTTTTTTGTTTTTGCTACATGTACTGTCAACGTTAATAGAAATTAAATTATTATCTTTGTGTTTGCTTTTACAAACCTTTGAACTTTCAATTTCATTAGGATTCTCATCATATTTTAAGCAAAATAATTTAATGTGTTTGTTTAAATTTTATCAGTGCCCTCCGAAGAAATTGGAAATTCAAGGTGATCAGTGATCCGTTCAGGGCGAGATGTAAGCAATAAATAAACACAACTAGACTGTATTTAAATTTTTTCTCTTACTTTGTTTTACTAATGCGCAACGTTTCGCTGACATATGTATCAGCCTCATCAGGCTACAAAATTAAAAATCAAAAACTATACAATAAGCCATTTGGTAGACTCACATACAAAAACACAACAAATTCACAACATAAATTATTACCGCAGGCACGCCAGAATTCGTAAGTGTATTGACTTACTTGTCACCTGTCGAACTATTGACTAATAATAAATTGTAGAACACGCCAGCGCTTATATAGGCAACGGTAAAGAGCGATGAACTCGATCGGGACATTTGTCTTTTATTAATTTTTATCCAGAGTGTTTACCATTCAAACTGAACCGAAGAGCTTGTTTTTATTTTATATTTACGAACCACTAAAGCAGCACTTGAAAAATTACAAGAAAAAGGGATCCAGGGTTAGCTACCATGTTTCTCTTTTCTACTAAGATAAATTTAGGTAATTCGCGACACGGAAAATTTTTAAGGTAATTTGGTTCAGTGTCCAAAATAGTGTTAAACAAATCATCATTCGAAAGAAAATATTTCTCCTTATTCTACACGACAGTTTATATGGATAACAATAAAAGATTTGTATGAAGTAAAGTTACAAATTAACAAAAAACAGTACTTCTTATGTGGTCTTCCAATCATGTAAAAAAGTCAAATATATACATGTACATAAATAACTTTTTTAATTTCTAAGAATAAAATAGCTTTTAATATTTTAAAGCTATAGTACGTTTTATAATAGACACTTTTATGTTAATAATAGTTCTTTGAATACATTAATGTTTGATACTAAGATAAGATGATGACGTCGAAATTCATAACGGATATTGTTATATCTCAAAAACTTTCTGCCAGACAGTATTTTTTATTTTTTATTTATCTTCAAAATTATTTTGGATGACAATAATTTTTAAATTTGTGCATAAGAATATCTAATTGGCTATGAAAAAATAAAAGTTTTTTGAAATATGTTTCTACAAAATCAAAACTGTAGTCCTGTGATCTTTTTATTGACGTAGAAAAAGCAAAAATTAATCGAAATTATTTGCTATATAAAATAAACGGTAAACAAGACTGATGCCCAGTGTTTAAAGTGATTCT